ACAGAGATGGAGAGAAGAGAGACAGAGATGGAGAGAAGAGAGACAGAAGACAGAGAAAAGAGAGACAGAAGACAAAGACTGAGAGACAGACAGAGATAGAGAGAAAAGAGACAGACAGAAAGAGAAGACAGAAAAAGAGAGAAGACAAAGATTGAGAGACAGACAGAGATAGAAAGAAGAAAGAGAGAAGACAGAGATTGAGAGAGACATAGAGAGAAAAGAGATAGAGACAGAGAGAAGAGAGACAGAGAAGACAGAGAGAGAACAGAGACAGACAGAGATAGAGAGAGATAGAGAGAAGAGAGACAGAAGACAGATAAAAGACAGAGAGAGAGACAGAGGAAAAAGAGACAGAGAAGACAGATTGAGAGACAGACAGAGATAGAGAGAAGACAGAGATTGAAAGACAGAAATAGAGAGAACAGAAGCAGAGAGGAGAGACAGAGATAGAGAGTAGAGAGACAGAGAAGAGAGACAGATTGAGAAAAGAGAGAGATAGAAGACAGAAAGGAGACAGAGAAGACAGACTGAGAGACAGACAGAGATAGAAGAGAGACAGAGATGGAGAGAAGAGAGAGATAGAAGACATACAGAGAGAGAAGACAGAGACTGAGAGACATAGAGAGACAGAGATAGAGAAACAAACAGAAATAGAGACAGAGATAGAAGAGAGACAGACAGATAGAGAGAAGGCAGGGGAGGAGAGGGGAGGAGGGAGGAGGAGAAATCAGATTCTAGGTTCCAGGAAAGCCCACTCTGGGTTCCAAGCTGAATTTGGATGGTCTGGGAAGGAACCAGGATTTCTTGCCTTGGGCAGAAGAAGCAGGTTCAATGAATGGGGTCAAGGGACAAAGATAAAAATTCTGCCTCTGCCACTCACCGCCTATGTAACGAACGCCAAGTCACTTAAGAATCACCCTAAGTCTCAGTTTCCTCAGCCTCTAAAATGAGGCAGTTGGCCTCGATGGGCTTTCCAATTCCCTCTGGCTCTAAGCCCGTGACCCTGGGAGTCAGAGGTACTTGGGTCACCTGGGGTGAGTCCCTTTACTGCTCTGAGCCTCAGTTTCCTAGTTTGCAAAATGACCATCTTTAAAATCCCTTCCATCTCTAAATCTCATTAAGGCTGTGGGATGCTGGGGAGGGGAAGGGAGGAATTTTCTGGAGGCCCTGAGAAAGTGGTGCCCTTAGCAGGCTGTTGAAGAGTTAGTGTTAATTCTCTGGTGAAATGGGTCCCAAGGGGATTGCCATTAGAGGGCTTTTTTCTCTCCGGACACTTTCTTCAACCCCCGGTAATGGTGATGGGGCGTCTTGGTAATGGTGGAAGAGAGAGGCCTGGTGCCTTCCAGCCTCAAGAACCCCACCCAACCCTCCCCAGAGCCTCTGGAAGCTGAGCAGAAAACAACATTAGCAAGCTAATATGAGGATGGGGGGGGGGGAAGGGAGGGGCGGGGACTGGAGCTGGGTAAATCAGGATGTGGGAAACCTGGCCCTCTTGGGAAATTACCAAGAAACTTTGAACCCACATGCCTGGTTCCTGGAATGGTCCAGACCAGGAAGATGCCCGGGACCACATACAGGTAAAAGGAGAGAGTTGGGGGAGGGGGGAAAAGCGG